TAAGGAAAATTTGGTATATACACAATGGAATACTACTCAGCCATAAAAAAGAATGAAATTCTGCCATTCACAGTAACATGGGTGAACTTAGAGAAAATTATGTTAAGTGAAATAAGCCAGGCAAAGAAGGAGAAACACTGCACATCCTCACTCATAAGTGGGAGCTAAAAACATAAAGAGAAATTTTAAAAAAAAAAAAAAAAGAAAAGAAAAACATACAACATTCACAATAATTGTTGAACTTTCAAAAGGAGAGAATGGAACGGAGACCACCACAGATAGGAAAAGGGGAGGAGTTAGTGAGAAATTGGTAAAGGGCCACAAAGAAAGATTACATTGTGTAATGTTAAATATAGTCATTATCCTGATTTGAGCATCACATATTGCACACAGGTATTTAGATTCAATGCTGTACCTCATAAATATGTACAATCATTTTTTAATAAAAAAGTAAATAATATATACACATTTAACTTCTTTTTCCTTAAAAAAAATACATCATAGGGCCGGCCCGGTGGCGCACTGGAACAATGTCAAAAAACATTATTTTTCTAATTCCCTGTTATAAAACAATCTATAACTGTGTAGAGCACTTTGCAATATTAACAAGTGGTGTGTGAATGTTACATTGCATTGCATGCTGAAAAACCATCCTCTGTAAATCATAATGAAAATTAATAAAACATTATAGCAACCTGGGACAAAACAAGCAGGCAAATTAGTAACCACATTTACAAAAAGTTACAGTCTGTAATTGCAAACAATTACCTCCTAAGAAAAAAGCAAGGATTCCTACGTCAGAACCAGCACACAATACAAGAACTGAAATATCGCGAGGCTGAGCGCGGTGCAGGTGCAACACTGAGGGTTGCAATCCCGTTGCCAGTCCCCAGTACGGGTGCGACACCGAGGGTTGCGATCCCGTTACTGGTCAGTAAAAAAAGACAAAAAGAAAAAAAAAAAAAAGAACAATCATTCTCAGTTTTAGTGTGATTGACATAAAGGAAAATATATATGTAAACATAAAAAATCACTGGTTAAAGTAAAATATACTTATTAGGTACTTTTAGATGGGAATAAATCTAAGGAGAAGATATTGAGCATCAGTTGCCTAATAAAAGTAACTCAAATGTGATGTTTGCCTGCAAGATCCTATGGCTCTGAACAGGAAAACAAGCCAGTGTAAAGTAGCAGAATGGCCTCTGGAAATTTGGCAATGGAGATTTAGCTACTTGTCACAAATTATTAGTCAGAATCTTGAGGACTTTCCCTCTTATATATCACTATATTTTCACATTTACTTCACCAAATGTTATTTAATAACCACAAACTTAATTTTTAACCACCTGATCTAGCCAACAACCACAGTAAGATATTTTAGTTCACCATTTTGTATCATCCCAGTTCTTTCATTGACTTAAAACACTAAAAGGAACACTCCTTTCTTGTTGTTAACTTATAAAGACCTACTTTGTACCTGCCATTGCCTTATTTGTATTTTCATACATTTGGTCACAAAACATCTTCATTTAAATATCCCAATTTTTTACTGGAGTAACACATGGAAAAAATCTGCACTGAATACATAATCTGGATTATAATACATTGAAGTAAAAAAAGGCAGAAAAACTTGCATACAAAATCAAAAAGGAATTTTACTACAGTTGAGTCATTATGTAATATATTGCATAATACCACAATCTGAAATTTGACATTTTATAGCCTTTAGAAAAATATGTCTGGACCGACCCCGTGGCTCACTCGGGAGAGTGTGGCGCTGGGAGGGCAGCAGCGCTCCCGCTGCGGGTTCAGATCCTATATAGGGATGGCTGGTGCGCTCACTGGCTGAGTGCAGTGTGGGCGACACCAAGCCAAGGGTTGCGATCCCCTTACCGGTCACAAAAACAAAAGGAAAAAAAAAGAAAAATATGTCCAGTAAAATTGTTTAATCATAGGTATGATCTGATAAATATTTTGACACATTATCTTCATTAAACTACTGTAAAAATACATAAGGCAATCTATCTAAACAGTATTTTGCTAACATTTTTAATAATTATATTTTGTAATGGAACCTATGTGTACAGCAAGAAATGTAGTAAGCTATCAGCATGAAGAAAACTGCGACCTTTCCCAACCAATAAGTCAGGAGCATCAAGAATAAAAATTCAGGATAGTAGTAGAAAGTGTGACTCTATTTTTTCACTCAATTTTGGCTAGGGTGATAATAAAGACCAAGTGCTCCCTTCTTGGACATCAGCTGGAAGTTCAAACCACTTCCAAGTACCTTCATTGCAGCTCCACTGGATCACCACCTTAACACACCAAGAGAGTCACCTTTCCCCACTCTCTCTCCAGCCATTTTTGAACCAAATTGGGAAATCTATCCTGCTTTCTCCAGAAAGCTTCATGATGTAATAAACATTCTCTTAACACTTCAGTGTATGACATCATGATTCTCAACATCCAAGCCAAACTTGTGACTTTCAATCTAGTGTCAGCAGAATGGTTACAGCAGAAACCAGCAAAAATGTTATGAGAGTAAATACATGGTGTGTTTAATTTATGTACCAAACTACACACACAAAAATTCTCATTTGTGTATGCTCATTCTTAAGAGGAAATCTGTGAACATTAATCCTGTAAAATGATTTCACTGACTACTCCAAGGACAAAAAATACATTGTGCTTTTACCCTTATTCCCAATTTTATTTTTAGAAATTTCTCATATTCTTACTATATATTTTCACTTGACGAAAATCAAGGTGCATGCCATTGGCTTTATTTGGCACACAAGATAAAGGCATATAGAAATACATAATATGGTGCATATTCATCAATAGGGATACTGGTTTTAGGTGTCAAGAGTCAGAACATGCACTGGTATGAGTTTCATTATACCTATATAAGTATCCTAGGGCAGAGTTCAGAGAGAATAACTCAAGTGCAAAGAATGAGTATAGGTTCCCAAAATTGCATTATGTTAGATTCCACCACGGAAATAAATTGTTATAGATCCTTCAACCTTAAGAGCCTAATGGTGCATTGTTACTTTCTGTTTTTGAAGCATCCTTATGAAGTGGTAGGACCATGATTCTTTCACAGGTATGGAAAAAAGACAATATTTTATTAGTTAAAACATATGACCTGGGGTATGTTCTGAATAAAACGATAGCAAAATGTAAGGCCAGCACTAAATGTGAATCCTACCCAAGAACAAGTTATTCTGGTTCTTTAAACTCTCCCTCTCATAACTATTCTCATCAATTTCCAAAAAAAAAAGGCTAACTTTTAATCAATAAAAAGGTGGCCCCCCTTTCTCCTGTGTTATTTTTACCATGTAATCAGTCCCAAGTAACCTACCACTCTCCTCCCATAAAAATCCTTATGTCCTATGATCTTGGTCTGTTCTATTTTGCTGTCTTTTAATGGAGCAATCCTTTCCTATAATTTACAATGGCCTTCCATGTCAAAAGTGCCCTAAATGCAATAAGCATGACTTTACATTACTCTCAGCCTTTCACAAATGCTAATTCAGACAATATTTAATTTTATAAGGCAGTGTCCTTATTATACCAGGAATATGAATACAAATGATCCTCATCTAATGAAGAAGTCCCTTTACTCCTATTGATTCTTACCTGGACTCCACCATAAAAAGATGCACAATAAAGATGCATAATAACAATAGATTTCAAAGTTCACAGTAAAAGACATACGAGTAAATGGTAAAATAGCCTTCTGAAGAAACTCCATACAGTTGAAAACATTTTATAACCTGAAGATAATTGGCCATTTCCAAACGTCCTTGCAATCTGCTATATCATGAGCTTAAACATTATTTGCCATGTAATTATTCTCCAGCATGTAACTCTAACTCAATTATTCCTTGTATGAAATCTCTGATATGGAATATGTTGTGAGAATTGGTTTATAGAACTGATATCATTCCACTTATAAGGGTTCTTTCAAGAACAAATTTTGGGGGGAATCCTGATGACATACATTTGATTAAAGGTCTTTCCACATTCACTACATTTGTCTGGATTCGCTGCAATATAAATCCTCTCATGACTCCAGAAACTGGTGTGTTTGATAAAAGCCTTACTGCATTCATTCCATTTGTGAGGTTCTTGTCCAGTAAAAATTTTCTGGTATTCAAGTTTTGATCTTTGTACAAAAGTCATAGCATGCAAATAATGTTTGTGTGGTTAAATCAAAGATGTATATTTTGATGCTAGTGAGTATGGAGTCCTGAAAAAAACCTCTGCCACATACACTACAGTTATATTTCTCCTTACTATGGACACTCTGATGCAGATTAATGCTTGACCCCATGATGAGGAGTTTGTCACAGTCATTCCACTTGTCAGATTTCTCTCAAGCATGAATTTTCCGATGTTGCCTCAAGTGTGAATTGCAACTAAAGACCTTGCCACATTCTTGACATTTGTAAGGCTTCTGTTCAGTATGGATTACTTGATGGGTAGCAAGGCTTGAACGCTGAAGAAAGGATTTGCCACACTCGTGACATGTATATGGTTTCACTCCAGTATGGGTTGCCTGATGGGCAGTTAGGCTTGAACGCACACCAAAAGCTTTGCCACACTCACTACACTTGTAAGGTTTTTCTCCAGTATGAATTCTACGGTGAATTGCAAGGTTGGCACTTTGAGTAAAGACCTTGCCACATTCATCACATTTGTAAGGTTTTTCTCCAGTATGGATTACCCGATGGATAGTTAGCTTTGAATCTGTACGAAAGGCCTTGCCACACTCATTACACTTGTAAGGTTTCTCTCCAGTATGAATT